CGTACCCAGAGTTCCAGGGAGGACTATCCTCCCCCAAGCCTAGCCATGCCTTGGAAGGTCCCTTCTGGACCCACCAGAAAGGCTGGCAATCTAGAGGGGACCCTGGGGGAGCCAGCATATGCTGTGCCCTCTGATGGAAGTCACAGGGGACCCCCATAGCACACACTCACTGCTCTGCTGTTCCCCCAGACACGGTGAAAGTGAAGCTGACCTTTTCCATGGATGTGTTGGCAAAGAACAACAGATTATTTTGCCGTAAAATTAGTGTCTGGTATTTGTCAATTATATCTCAATTAAGCTGGGGGAAGTGATGCTTAGGTCCCCTGGGTCGTAGCTACTTTGTTTTAGGTCAAAGCATATAAGCCAGGTGAACTGTGCTGTGTTTTTTGGGGTTCCTCAGGCTCTTACCCCTGGAATGTACCTGCTCGTCTCTAGAGTACAGGCCTGTGCGTAGGCTGCCCATGCCTGGTTTTCTGCAGAGCTAGCTCCTTTTTGTATTGCAGGTCATTCAAATGTCACTTCCTTAAAGAATGTCAGCTCCTTTCTGCACGTGGTCACTCTACCCTGTTAGCACCTCTTAGCTCATTGGCAGCATTTGTGACATTGGGGTTTATCTTGTTCATTATTCATCGTCCATGTCTCCCCTCAAGAATTTGAGCTCCCCAAGGGAAGGAGAGACCTGGAATGTTTTCCTTGTTCAGTGATAAATTCTGGGCTCAGCATGGTGCCTGGCACGTAAGAGGCGATCAATAACTATTTGTTGAATGAATGATTAATGACAGACTCCGCTGCCTCACTTTGGAGGGCCCAGGCATCCTTGTTGGTGTATTCTTGTTCCTTTCCACCCCAGAAAGCAGCAGTTCAGTGACCCCCCAACCAGCGAACGAGGGCACCACGGGGCTGGGCTGTGGCTCCAAGCCCAAGGACTGAGTGTCCAGTGGTCTCCCAGGTCTGCACCTGGAAAACTTGCTTGCTCCTGGCTCCATGACTTTAACCAAAACATCCAAGTGCTCTGCTCCTTGGTGCACAAAATGGCGAGAACACCAGTTAATGCCCAACACCTCCAAGGTTGTGAAAATCAAGTGCATCAGTAGATTACTGAAGGTCTTTGAAAAGTAAAAAGCACGGTGCAAGTGAAGGACACTACAGCTGGGGCTAATATTTTCACACGCCCATCCTAGTGTGAGAGCTCCAGGCTGTCGCTGGTACTACAGGTTGACCTTCTTGACTCTGAGCTCCTAGGGGAGAGCAGGGGCAGCAGAGCACCAGGATCCTGTGCTGGGACCCCCCAGCCAGCAGTACTGTTGGTGGGGGGCAGGGAAGCCCACAGGCTAGCAGCTGCAGACGGAGAGTCCACCAACTCTTCATGGAGACTCACCCTTTCCCCAAACCACAGCTTCCTTCACTGATCTGGTTTGCGAGTCCCTATTCCCTTCAAGGTGAGATTACCTCCTGGGATGGATGATCAGGCTGGGTGGCCATGGGGACGCTTTTCCCAGAACTGCTGACTCCATTCTTGGCAGCGTGTTTTTAGACCAGGCCTAAGAGATGCCTCTGGCATTATGTACTAAAGACAACTACTTGACTAGACTCCTTTCAACAACATATTTGTAATCAAGACATCTCCAAATTCCATGTCATCCCTGATTTCAGGGAAGAGCTTTTAGAAGCAGAAACACATTTGTTGCTCAAGTTAAATCAAATATGCCCAAGAAAGCAAGGATCTAGTCATTTCATTTTCTTCTTCTTCTCTCGATCCTGTCCTGGGTTCTAGCAAGAAGTAAAAAGAAAACAATCTCCCCTCAGAGTTGTTGAGAAAGAATCCAAGGGTGAAAGTCACTTTAAAAGGGTAAAGTTCAGCTGAGGTTTTTGCCACTTAGTGAGTGAGCAGCTATGGAACAACTCGGAAAACCGTCCCTTTCTTGGGCAATCAAAACTTGTTCCCGTGGAAATGGACTTTTGCACCACTGCTTGTCTGTCATTTCAAAAAGCATGGCCAGCTTTCAATTTTCCCTAGAAAAACTCATTTCTTTTTCCTCGGTAGGAATTCCCTTCATCTAATTCCATGCCTCATTTTTCCCACAGCCATTCACAGCTCTTAATTTTCAGATGTGTTTAAAGGGGTGGTGAGCCCCGGCTGGGAGCACACCAGGTTTTGTCTAATCCCAAACGGGCAGATAGCAGGCCTAACAACGAAGGCAGCGCCCCAGCAAATGAGACGTGCCTGGGGGTACATCTGTGTCGGAAAAACGGAGCTGAGTGCTGCTTGTTCATGAGAAAGACAGGTGCTCTGGGCTGGGGGAGCGCTTCATCATGCCTTCGGTGACTCTGTGCTGGGCTCACTGGTGGTTGTGCTGTCACTCCAGCTTGTCCTTGTCAGCAGGTCCTATGGCTGCAGCTCACATCCACTGTGGTCTTGCCTCAGGTGCTCAACATGGTGAGGTCGTAAGATCCAAAATGCGAGGATTAGAGTGCCTAGTTCAGTGTTGAAAGTGAATGACCTCCATTTTCATCCTCTGGCCCCATCCATAGGGCCATCCTGTGCCTGATCCATCTCTGAATATAACCCTTGGCCAGTAGCAGGTAGGAACGGACATGGCCTCTGGGAGCTTGGCAGCGCGGTCGACCCCTAGTGACTAAGGCTGCCTGTCTGTCATTAGCTGCAGGGTCACCAAAGAGCCATGGTGCTCAGCCCAGCCCAAGGGGAGTCAGAAGGCCTGAGAGCTCTCTTGCCCTCAGCAACCTCAGCCTTGCAGACATTCAGTTAGATAGTTGGCCCTTTCCTCCAAGGTGATCCCTGCCTCCTGCCAGAGGTCAGGAGTTGACCCCGAGCCAGCCCAGTTGCAGGGCTAGTTCTGTGCCTTCCAACTAAGCACCCTTGGCCCAGGGGCCTCACCACTTTGACCTTCCGTTTCCTTGTCTGCATGGTGGGAATTGGCACAGGCCCTGCCTCCACGGTACCCGTGGAACATGATGTCTGGCATTTGGCGAGTACTTTATAGGTGTCAGCTAATGATCTATCTCATTGTAAGTGAGCTGCATTATAAATAATAGGATGGCTGGGAAGTGGCTGTCCCTGGCAACCGGGCACCCATCCAGTTGGAGGTGATCATGCAGCTATTCTCCTTAAATCCAACGGGATTCTGTCCCGTGATGTCTGCTCTGAGCCCCTTTCTGCCCAGCATCACCTAGAGAAATGCAGGGCAGGGAAGCCCTAGGGACATGTGCAAGTTGGAATCCTACTCTGCGAGCACCCTGGGAGCTTGTCCAGACCGAAAGTGATCAGAGGTTGTGAGCTATCCAACTGCTGTCGAGAGAGAGGCCTGTGGAAGAGGCCCCTGCACTCACCAGGTGCGAATGCTTAGGGGGTCATGGCTCGGTACAGGCTGCCCCACTGGCCTGAACAGTGAATTCCTTCCTCTAGCCTGAGAGTCGTGCCCTTCCAGCTCCGTCCTTACCGCAGACATTGCTGACACGGGGAAGCAGGAGTCAGAAAACCTCAGCCTGAGTCCTGGCTCCATCACCTACTGGCCATGCACGTGGACAAGCCACTTAGCCTCACTTAAAAATGGGTCTAATTACTACTCGCCTCCCAGCTCCACAGTCGCCATAGCGATCATTCACACATGTGAAAGCTGTAAAATGGGAAACGCTAAGATAAGTCAAGTCCTGGTAATTGTTATTTTCACATAATGTGATGACTAAAGAGCCATATCATTATGTATTGGGAAAGGGCAAAACTAGTCGGTTTTTAAGATTTCCTTGAGACTTTTGAGTGTATAACATTAACATTTGTAGCTATGTATGTACATATGTCTACCAGAAATGGGGGATTTTTAAAGAATTTCTCTTCAACTGGAGGTACTACGTGAATGTCACAGCTGGTGGCGGTGCCTCATTCAAAGACAGCGGCATCAAGGCATCAACGTCTTCTCTAACAAGGCTGCCCATCAATATTCCTCTGAGAGTAATGGGAGCCATCCGAGTAGTTTATTTACATCCACACTGAAGATAGCTGGGAAAATTGCGGCTCTCAGCCTGCATCTCAAGACCCAACTGTAGTGTGATATCACTGATTAATGGACTTAGTTGTTTGACTCAAATGCCTGCCCAGCAGGAGTATGAAGAAAGACTTCATTAGTCAAAACGATGAAACCTGAGATCAAACATCAGCGGGGGAGATGGCAGAACACTGCCACCTGGGGAACAGCAAAGTGGCGCACATCTCCGGCGATCTCGGGAGCAGATGGGGCTCCGGTGGGAATTACCCGGAAGCTGCAGACAGGTGAGGGGCCCGTTCTAGACAGAGCTTTAGACGGGGCCTCCAGGTTGGGCTGGGAAATGACTCCTCCTTTATTCTTCCTCCAGTTCCAATGGAAACAACTCAAACCCCGCATGATGCTCTGAGTGGAGACTGGGGACAATTGGAGGCTTTTCCTCCCCAGTGTCTGCCCCTGCAATAGGAGGGGCTGGCAGGGAGGAATGCATTTTACTCTGAATTCACCAGTAAAGCCATAGCCCAGCACCTCCCTAGCCCTCAAACCTGCCCGTGAAGGAAGGGGAGAAGAACCCACATATGCAGACACCCGCCTACCCCCCCAGCTGGCATGGTGGCTCCTGCAACCAAGCTTGGATGGGCCTTGGCGCGGCTCTAAATGGCCTTTTAGGTGGTCCTGACATAGATGTGGAGGGCACAGAGGAGAGAGCAGAGCTTCTCTTTGGAAGCCAAGGTGGAGGTGGCTTCGTGCGACCTCATTTACACGTCTGTACGAGGGAGCACCATGTCCTGTTGGGATGCCTGTGGTCATCGCTCTGCTGTCCAGAGTCCAGGAGCATGAGAAAAAGCAGCACAGTTACTGGCTAACAGATGTGGCCAACACAAGAGGCTTTATGGATTCCCTCTTCGCGTCCTTGGGGGCTGCTCCCTGAGGGCTATCCCAGTCAGCCCTGGACAGTGTGCACACAGAGCACTGTGTGCCTGGGCCGACCGCGGGACTTACCTTGGAGCGAGGCTGGTGGACTTGGCTCCCGTTGGTGAATCCAGACCTTCCCCCGGCTTTGCCGATTTCTCTCGGTTCATTTGCTGCAGGATTGAGTTCAATTCACTAATAACATTTGCCTTTGGGCCTGAGAGAATTGGGCTTTTGACCTCTGTGACGTCGCCCCACAACTTAGAGGTCCTTGGCTGGATAACCTTGGCCATCCCGGGCTGGGCACTGCCCGGTGGGGGTGGGGGGGCGGGTGGGGGGATAACAAAGCTATCTACATCCTCTTCCACGAGCGCATCTTGGTAAAGTGCATTGCTTTTGTGAATTATGGGCTTCATTTTTGGCTTAGGAGGTACTGGGGGTTTGTCAACCATAAATGCTTGCCCATCTGCATAGACTGTGCAGGTGTCCACGTTCTCCCCGCCCTCAGAAGACAGGGTGGAGATGCTGGACACTGTGGAGATAGTGCTGGTCGTCTCGAGATGGTGGTCGCTGCTACTCCGGCTGTCCACCTCCTCGATCCCAGAGTCGGTGACAGCATCAAAGCTCTCAGGGGGTGGCAGGAATGAGGCAGGCAGACAGTTTGAAAGACCGGCTGGCTTCTTGCTGTCTGCAGAGTTGGTTGGTTGGCTGGAGTTCAATGAAGGGGACTGAGCAGTGTCATTTTTTTTCTGCTTGACCAAGTCCGTGAGAGCGGGGACAGAAGCAGCGCGGTCGTCGGGGATATCAAAACTATTTGCAAATTCCAGGGGAGGAGGCAATGGCTCTGTAAAAATAAAATCCTCATCCAAGTCCACGGATGCCAGAGGGGGAGGAGGGATGCGGAATGGCAAAATCACCGCCTCTTCCATGGAGCCGGCCGCCACAATGGTTCTGCCGGGCGCGGCGGCGGGCTCAGGGGCAGCGGAGATCTGTAAAGCACCTTCGGTTTCGGAAACACCTTCTGGCACCTCAGACAGTGAGTTGTCCGGCTTCATGTCCACGTCTGCTTTCTCGTCCTCTTCCTCCAGGGGTTCGTGCAACTTGGCGGCGTCCACGGTGTGGACCATCAGCAGCCCGGCCGACTTCTGCTGGGACGTGTCCACGATGTCGATGAGCATGTTCTTCTTGTCGTCGCCTCTCCGGTCCCTGCCCAGGTCAGTCTCATACTTGTTCTCTGTCTCCTGACGCCGCAGGGGCCCCCGGGTGTTCTGCCTGGTGACTGGAGGGAAGCCGGTTTCTGTGCTGGGCCTCATTTTGGTGTCAACGTAAAGAGGTTTGTTGAGGTCAGCCCTGGGGGCCTCCCCCCTGGGTCCCTGCTGGGATTCCTTCAAGGCTCGGTCCCTTGCGGAGAGGGCCAGGGCCAGCGGGGAGCTAGGGCCGAGCAGCCTCCCTGTGAGCGGATGTACGTAATTCTCAGGGCCGGCTGCGCCGCCGCTCTTGGGGGGCGCCGCCGAGCTGCTCTCAGGCCCTGTGGCTTTGGATGTGGAATTCAGTGGCCTGCCGGCCTCACCCTGAGCACTGGCCTCGCCACCACCCAGGAAATGGTTCTCGGGCTCCCTGGGCGCTGCCCCTGGCACTGGGGACGACAGCTGCTCGGTGCCATCCTCGTCGCCAAACCCGCCCTCCTCGGGGAACTTGGAGGGTCGTGTCCTGGGGGCAGGCGGCCCCAGGCCTACGTCCTCATCCCCCAGGTCTGTGGAGAGGAAGGCTGGGGAGTTCCTCCTGGCTTCCAGCCGCTTCTCTCGGTCACGCACGGCCCCGGCTATGGCGGCTGCGAAGGGACTGCTGACGGTCAGGCTGTCGTCGGGCCGCAGCTGGCCTGGCTGCTCCGAGGCCTGGGGGTCGATCTCCATGCTGCTGCCTTGGCTGCTTTTGCCGCTGCTGCTGGTGGACGGCTCCTTCACGATGATGGTGGGGATGGGGATGGAGCACGTCTTCTCCGGGCTGTCTTCTACGTTGGATTGCTTCACCAGCATCCCCTTCCGCCGGGCGGGCTTGGCAGGGACATAGACGGCTTTGCTCGCGATCTTCCCCACCTCTGAGTATGGGTTTTCGGGCATCTGACCTCTCTTGTTGCGGAAGGTGGCCTGCGGGGCAGCGTTCCGACTGTAGAGGTCATCGGAGTCTAGGGAGTAGCGGTCTAACTCTCTCCTGTAGTACATTCCCTTTTCCCGCATCATGGTGGCCACCGTGTCAGACCTTGTGGCTGGGGACACCTTGGCGGCAGAATTCTGATTGAACGCAGGCTTAATGGTCCCATAGACTCTTGGAGTTGGGGACTTAGGGCAGTTGTAAGCAGTGGGGGAAGGAGGTGGTGGAGACGGGGGCACAGACTGCGGCGGTGGGGGGATGTCCTCGGAGGTGTCTGGCATGGACAGGCTTCTAGTGAACTTCAGCATCGGAGGAGCCAGAAATTGTCGCTCTTCCTCTGTTATTCCTACAAGTAGAAAACAGTTTTAAATCATCAACCATCGAAAAACCCTGCTAAGTTCCTAGGATTGTGCTATATACCACAGCTCCACAAACTCACACAGTCAGATGATGCACGCTTGTTCATGAGACACAGCACAAGCCACGATGCCAAGTGGTTAGTTATGTGGCCCATTCTGAGCCAGAAAAAAAAGAAAGAACAGAAAAGGCACGAGGGTGCAGTGAGTGTGCGCTGCTGCTGCTGCTGCTGCTGCGGTGCTCTTCCGGGGGCGTGTGGGGTGGGAGCTGTGTGAGGAACCCGGGAGAGGTTACTGAGGGAGGGCAGCTGACCTCCTCGGGCCTGCATGTGCGTGCGCTTTTGCTCTCCTGTTGGGGCAGAGTCCGTCTAGATTAGGAGGCATCTGTCCTTCCTGCTCTTTTAGGCTTGGTAATGGCCCCTGGGTGGAGGTTTAGGCTGGGGGTGCTGAGGCTGTCACCTGCCCATCTGAAATGAGGGCGAAGGGCACAGGGGTGCAGGTGCTGTTGCATCTGTTCTGTGGCACAGATAGTGGCAGTGCCAAGGACTCTGCTTGCTCTACTCCTGCCCAGACTTGCAGGGAGGCCTGCTACCAATAAGTAGAGCCATCTGCCCGCTGGTGGCCCTGTGTGTCACTATGATGGTATCTTCTAGGGTGGCATGAACCTGTTTTGTTGCCTGACTTCTCTGGGCCACACTGAGTGCTTTGTGTGTGTCGGAGCTCCCTGGGTCCTGGGAAGGATGGCTGTGCGTGGCTGGCTCAGAGGAAGGGTCGCACTGGCTCTGGAACATGCCTCTGAGGGGAGGGAGCCCACATCTCCTCTTTAACCAAAGACTCCAGCTCAAGCCAGGAGCAGGATCCGAAGCAAACCCTCAGCTGAGGGGCCTCAGTGAGCCCCTCTGGGTTATCACGGAAGCTCTAGAACTGGTCCCATCTAAGACCCTCCGGAGCAGGGGCTGACAGTGCAGCAGGTTGCCACGACCGTGACTGACCAGGGTCCAGGTTCAGCTGACTTGGCGCAGAGCCGAAGTCAGGTTCCGTGAGCCGCCCTGATGAAAGCCTGTGGGTGCTGAGCGTGTGAGGCTGTGGCTGAGGCTGTGGCCTGAGGGTTGTCTGTGTGTGTTGACTGGGTGTGACTTTACAGACTGCTCAACAGTCCAAGACAGAAACATTAACAGAAGGCACTCCAGGGGAAGGGGCGAAGCACACACATACACACCGACAGACGCACGGTACCAGGATCTCATGTCAGGGGCATGCAGGTTTTTCAAAATAAATTACTTGAAATAAAAAAAAAATTCCTAGGACAAACTACAATAACTTATTCCAATGAAAACTTCCATTTGATAAGGGTATTCCAAATTTAACATACTCCTTGTGGGAAGATCTTTTGGCATCGCAAAGATGGTTGCTAAAGGCATTCTGCATTGGCTGTTCACTACATGTTGGTTGCCCGACAGTTCTGTTCCCAAGGAGTAATAATTTAAGAATACACCTTATAAAGTAAATTAGGTTACATTCAAATTACAGATTCCAAACTGTAAGGATTCACTGACCTGATAGAAAGATTCTGCTGTCTGACAGGAGGAAATCGACTGTTATTAACCAGTAAAAGAGCCAGGGATTCAATATGGCGCATACGCAGCTCTGCCGGGGCCCTGAGCTCACTGGCGCTGGGTGAGCTTTACACACAGCAGACACCACCTGCACTGTCACTTGTTTAGTTACCGCCTACTGTCATTCACCTCAAACTAGTAACACGCAAGCTACGCCTCCAAACAGCAGCCAGGAAGCGTTTCCAGAACACCCAGAGCAGTGACCCCGGGGCGGGTCCAGGCTGAGCTGGGGTCCCCAGGGCTGCCGCACAGCTCTTTACAGGGGCCCATCGGCGTCCGCTGGGGCCTTTGCTTCTATGAAAATTTACATGGGAAAGACAGTGCTGGATTATCTCACAAAGGGACAGTCTTAAAAGGTCAAATTTACCGTTGCCTGTAACAGAGTCAGTAGAAATAACTGTGACATTAACAAGAAAGGTAAGCAGTTTTCTACAACACACAGCACATTATTTCATTACAATTCAAGAACCTGACCCAACCACCCTTAGAAGTGTGTCCGTTAAGCTCATCCTCCAGAACGTGGCAGTGGCCTGGGGATGTGGGACCCACTGGCCCTGCCCACTCTGAGCCATGCAGGGTGGGCTGGGGCTGGCCTAGATCACCCCGTGCACCCTCCACCCTCCTTCCTGGCATGTGGCCCCTTCACCCAAGGGTATTCTCACAAATGACTTGGCTTTAGGATAAAGAAACCACCCTGGAGTTTGTATCCATGGGGGTAGGGAAGTTTCACCCCACCCCGATGTTCAAATGGCTACCTGGTGGGTGAACCCAGGTTCCTGCCCTCTGGTGGGGGGCTGGCGGGGACTTGCTGGGGGTGGGTGTGCCAGTGCAGCTGTGGTGGGTCCAGTGGCCCAGGCTCCCTGAGGGGCTCTGAGGCTGCTTTTGAAAGCCGAGGGGCAACTTCTGCGGGTGCGGGTCACGCTTCTTACCTATCGATTTCTGCCTTCGCATCGTACCTCGAGGGATGCCCAGAAACGGGCCTTTTGGGCTCCCAGGAACGGTGGGCGTCATCACAGCGATGCCTTGGCGCTCGTACACGGACTGCAAACCAGAGCCCAGCGTGAGACTCTGCCCAGGCCAGCCCCACCCATGGTGACAAAGCCCAGAGGGCGATAAGGTCGGGTCTGTCACTGCAGCTCCTCTCTGTGCCTTTCCTATTGGCTCCTGCTGGCGTCAGCCTCTGGCCCTGTTTAGATGACCGCACACCCTGCTCTGTGGATCCAGGCTCTGCAGTGACACCGCTCACCAGACTAGCTGTGTAGACAAGACTGGGAGAATGGGGCCAGAACAGATGTCCTGCAGGAAGGGGCACAGAGCAATGCACGGGGTGAGGGGGGCTCCGACCCAGGTCCACACCCTAGCTCCCACGTGCCGTGTGACCTAGCCAAGGCCTTAAAACAGGAGCCTCAGTTTTCCTCCTATAAAATGGGCTGATAGTGCCAGCCCTAGAGCATGTGTGAAGGTGCACTGGGTACCGGGTGCTGCGTGGATGAGCCTGATGTGCTGGTTAGCTTGGGTGAGCTTTGAGAGTGCTCTGCAACACAGCTCCGAGTCTGCAGCAGGTGGGCTGTCCCCAGCTTTCTCCCTCCGCTGCCTGCTCTAGGAGGAGGCATCCCTTCACCACCTTGGAAACAGATTCCCTGTGCAACGTCTGCCCAATTTTCTCCCTGCCCCAGGCTGCGGCTTCATCTGCAAAACTGAGGTTGCCAGTGTGACTCTGGAAAAATGTCAGATGTAGATCACTGGAAACATTAGTATGCAAGCTTCTGACTCCAACGTGGAGGTGCAGTCTCACCTGGGCTCTGCAGCCCTGAGGCTGCGGGAGGGAAGGGGCCCTGGTCCTCTGAGGGGTCAAGGGCAGCTGTCCCATGAGGCTAGTCAGGGGTCGGGGAGCATCTGAGCTGAGGTGGGGCAGGTGGGTGTGGCAGGGTAGGGGGTAGGGCCCAGAGGGGAGGGCTGACTGCAGCTCCAAGTGTGGGGTGTGCCTTGCGGAGCTCCAGAGGGGAGGGGAGGAGGTGTGAGGGTGAGCATTTAATTTTAATCATTAACAGTTGTGTTTGTTTTAATGCATATTACATAAAACTCACATCAAATTTATGATATTTATGGGTGTTATTTTTTTAAGAAAAGGCTAGATTAAACAAAATGCTGCACCCATTTGAAATTGATTGAAAGAGAAGAATAAGTAAGTAATAGTAACAGGTAGTGCTGGACTTGGTACCAGCACAGACGGCTACGCCTGGAAAACAGAGACCACGCCCTTGTCCTTGGAGGGAAGGGGGAACGGCCAGGGCCGCCTGCTCTGAGCTGGGCACCTGGTGCACCCAGCAAGCTCTGAAGCCCAAGCACTTCCTTCTTGGTAGTTACAGTTGTGAGTACAGCTGTCGCCCAGATCTCAGAGCATGTGGCCCAGTGTTTGTGCGGAGGCCTCCGCCTGTGAGGGCCACTGCACCCGTTCCACATGGGGATGCTTCTGCGCTCTGGTGGACGGGGAGCCAAGGGCCCTTCTGTCTGAAGAGCACAGCCAGGAGCTCAAAGATCCTCAGCTGGGCACGTGGTGGGGGCTGCCCTTGAGGCTCAGGGCGCTGAGCGACTGAGCCGAGGCCAAGGTAGCAGGTAGATGAGTGGTGAGGCTTGGGCGCTAGTGTGGGCTGTGCCCTCCACTGTGGGTCTGCACTGGGCCAGGGTGCGCGTGCTGTGGCCACTTAGATTTGGCTCCATCTGGATGGCACAGGGAGTGTGAACCTCAGCTGCTGAGACGGCTGTCTCTATTCCTGCTGAGCCCTCCCACTTCCCAGCCCCCCCAGGCCCTACCCCCACCGTCCCCAGGGGGCACGGCCACTCACGTTCATGTCCGAGACAGCCGGGAAACACCGGCTGGTGGGCCGCTGCTTGATGGTCGCCACCCTTGACTCCACGGCCATGTTCTCGGCAGCTCGAGAGGGCTTGGAGGCCGGGACTATCTCTTCGGGTTTATCTGCAACATAACCACGGGGATTGGAGCAGACCCCCCCAGTCGGCGGAGGCCAAAGCTTAGTGAGGAAAAGGGAAGAGTGCAGCGACCACTCAGCATCCGAATCGTGCAGCTGGGCACTGGCACCGCTGTGGGGAGCGTGCATGTGTCTCTCTGCCACATGCGTCCCACTGGAGCATCGTCTCGTTCCCAGACTTTGCTCCGGGAGGGTGCACATTGACATAGGCGGGGGTGGAAGACCCCTAGCAACTCGGCCTCCTCCTCCGGAAGTGCTCGGCCCACCAAGGGTCCTGAAACTCTAGGTCGTTTCTTTAGTGGAATCACTTTGTTCTTATTAATGGTACTTATTCTTGATAGCATTCAGTAAACCAACTTTTGGAATTTTTGAAGACTCAGAAATATGGTTCTTTTGCAACCAAATGCAGATGCCAAGATGTGAGGACCCCATACCCAGAGCCACCTGGACAGTGTGGGTGTTTGGGAGCCCCCAGAATCTGAGCATGTGCTACACAGGGAGGTCCCCATTTATTTCTCCCAATAGAACATTCCATTTCTTTTTGAAAAAGAAAGCCAAAGCTTAGTCATAAGCGATCCCTAGAAATTAAAAAAGATTTACTTTTTAAATTGGAAACTGAAGCAAATCCTAGAACTATCTGATGCCCTGGCTTTATCTCTGGGATGTCTGGGATCAGGCACAGGGTCTGTCTAGGGCTGTTACAATGCAGGGACCGCCGTTCATGGAGGCCTGCAGAATCAGTCTTTGGGTCCCTGTATGCTTTTTTTTTTTTTGGCTTTTAGAAGCAGGGTCTCACTCTGTAGCCCAGACTGGAGTGCAGTGGCACGATCTTAGTTCACTGCAGCCTTGAACTCCCGAGCTCAGGTGATCCTCCTGTCTCAGCCTTCTGAGTAGCTAAGACTATAGGCGCATGCCACCATACCTAGCTAAATTTTTTTTTTTTTTGAAACAGGGTCTCACTTTTGTCACCCTGGCTAGAGTGCAGTGGCGTCATCATAACTCACTGCAACCTTAAACTTCTGAGCTCGAGCAGTCCTCCTGCCTCAGCCTCCCAAGTAGCTGGGACTACAGGCGTGAGCACCACAATTGACTAATTTTTCTATTTTTTGTAGAGACAGGGTCTTGATATCTTGCCCCGGCTGGTCTTGAACTCCTGACCTCAAGTGATCCTCCTGTCTCAGGCTCTCAAAGTGCTGGGATTACAGGTGTGAGTTACCATGCCTGGACCCCATATGCATTGTGGAAAAGGCTCCACCCAGCCCCGGCTGTGCTTTTGAGATACCACTGGTTGGCATGAAGCCAGTGCAGAGTGATGCCTGGTGGGTACGTCCCATTTTGGATCCTGTGAGGCACAGCACTTGCCTTGCCCCCCAGGAGAACACTCTGCTACAAGCCTGAGGCCTTTTCCTAGGCAACCCTAATCCCACTCCTGGGGGCGGTGGCTCCCTGGGAAGTGCATGCCATCAGAAGGGCTCAGACCGTGAGCCGTGGGGCTGGCATGAGAGTCAGGGAACTAACCAGAGCCCAGGGAGAGAGGCCCCCGTCTTCGAGTTGTTTAACATGCAGTGGAAGCCCCTTGTAACGGTGGCTTCTCACAAGGACCCGACCCACAGGCAAAGCCCTCCAGAGCCGCAGCACTGCTCAGTGTCACCAACACGAAAGCACCGGCCTCCTGAGAGGCTCTCTCCCAAGTGGAAGAGCAGGGAGAGGAAGGGGGTGGGCTGGGAGTCGGGGGGTGGAGCTGGGTGCCCACCACAGCCCCTGAGCCTCACAGAGCAGCTGAGACGTACGCAGGCCTGACACCCGAGAAAACATTTCTGTGGTGACTTCCAGGTGAAGGTGCCTGATGCCAGGCCTGTTTTAGACCTGGGGCTGGCTCGTGCCTGTTCTGGGATGGCCCTTGGCCTCAGGGCAGTTTTTACATTTTCAAAGAGTTATAAAAAGGAGAAGAAAAGGAAGGAGAATGTGCAACAGAGACCACGTGGCCTGCAAAGCCTGAACATTTACTGCCCGGCCTGGGAAGATGTTTGCCGACTCCAGGCCTGGACCATTCTTGCAGTTTCCTCGCAGCAGGACGCTGAGGAGCCACACAGAGCAAGGAGGCCCAACCCTGTCCTGCTCTACCAGCCGCGATGCCCGGCACGTCTCGGGCACCTCCCCTGCTGCGCGCTCAACTTGCAGGCTCACCTGCCCCACTGCTGCTCCCGCCTCCTGGCACCTCTCCTGTGACTCTGGGCCCACGAACTCTCCTGATTCTTTGATTTGGCTGGTGCCACCTCCTTGGGGGCATCTTGTCCCCTCTATGGGTGGGAAGCATCTGCCCCTTCGGGCACTGGTCAGGCACAGTGAGAAGAAATACCCGACTCTCTCGTTTCACTCGGCCGTGGTACAGCCCAGCCGCAGTCGCCTGTGTCCTCACCTCCCACCCTCAGCCCAGTGCCTCCTGCTGAGCGTGTGCTAGCTGTAGCTGCCTCTGCCCACCTTCTTCCCTTGGCTAGAGTCCCTGTCCCCACCACTGGGCTATATGCCACGTCCACCTGCCACAATCCCAGCGCTCTGCTTTCTCCAAGGAGCTTTCCCCTCAGAGGTCTGGGCTGGGCCTGAATTTGTTTCTGTGCAGGTTTCTCCAGCCCAGCTATGTCAGCCGGGCCTCGCTCCCCCTTCACTCAGGCTCAGGTGACGCTCGCGTGACCTGCTTTGGTGAGCTGACTGACCAGCTTGGTCTGTTCCCAGGAGCTGGGCCCCCTGGCAGTGGCTGTTGGCTGAAGTGTGGCTGCTGGTGGCCCCCAGAGTGGTGTCCTCCAACAAAGGGAGGGTGAGATCTCCCGCCAGCACTAGGGACCCACAACTGCAGTGAGCCATTCTGGGAACTGCCAGGTCCTCCCGATAGATGGCCTGGGCCCCTCTTCTGACCCCAGTGGAGGGCGTGCCGTCAAGTTAGGGGAAGAACAGCTGCAGCCCAACAAGACATCTCACGGGGCCATCTCAGATGCAAGTCCTGGGGGCAGCTGCAGAATCCAGCCTGTCCGGTACTGTGCACAGTGAAGGGAGCCCTCCCGGCCATGCAGGTGAACCAGGGCTGTCCTAGCGCTCAGGCTCGTGAGATTCTGTCGAGATGTGGGAGAGGTCATCAGAGCTGGGAACACCTGGACATCCCTCCCGAGCTGACCTCTATTGTAAGCTCAGAGGGTAAAGGTGGCAGCTGGGGCTGGGGTGCTGGGGCGAGGGAAGGTCGTCAGCTTTGAATGCTGATGGAGGTGCCAGACCCGTAAGAGGCAGAAGGCCACGTCCTGCAGGGAAGGCCATGGGCTAGGCACATCGGGGTGAGGGACTCCAGGGTGGAACAGCTCTTCTGTGATTAAGATTTAAACCAGCCAAATCTTCCAGAAGCTCCAGTTTCCAGCTGGGCCCTTCCAGAAGCACTAGTCTGTTTCTTTTATATTAACAAACCCCAAAGCTGGTGGGCTGGTTCACTTCTATCCACAGCAGGCTGCAATCTTAGGATCTCAGGGTGTGTGGCAGGCACCCTGAAAATATGCCTCAGTGAAGGGGGGGGTGCCCTGGGTGAGCAGAGGCAGCATGGTCAGTAACAACAGTGCCTTACCTTGGTGGGACTGTTGAGAACCTGGCTATAGGGGAGGGATTCTTCCCATTTTGCAGAGAAAAAAATTGAGGGTCTCATACTTAAAGTCAGGAAACTGTAGGACCAGGTAGGAGCTGTAGCTGGCATTGGGGTCACCCAACCCTTGCGCCTGTCATGCAGACAGGGGTGCCCAGCCCTGGTAGGCAACGGCAGAACACTTATTTGCAAATTGCTAGGGTCACCATCAGAATGATCTGCCTCGTCTGGCTGTCTGAGCAGTGAAGGGGGAGGGGACACTGTTCACATCAGAGTCGCCATATCAGAGGGGTGGGCTGGGCCGTGTTACTGAAGGTACATCCCCTGGAGCTGTGGCCACCTTGATCGTGGATGTCTTTGTCTTTGTTTTAAACCTTCCCCCTCCTGCCTCTACCCTCAGCACAAATGTTGTTTTGAACCAGAACATGTGAGAGCAACTTGGTTTGTTGGGGTGGTAGGGTCGGGGCCACAGCTCCTTTTTCAGTTAGAATTTGTGGTGTTTGTGCAATTCACATGAAAAGAGGGAAATCCTTGCGTCGGTCCCCTCCTGGCCCTTGTCTCTTGGATACACTGGCCAATGGGAACCTGGTGGCCTGACTCAGCTCAGTCCCGTCACTGACATCTTCTCTACTGGAACGTGAAGGCTTTAAGAGAAGCCATAAGACTGCGGCTCCTGCTTCTCACTCTAGGCTTTTCAGGATTCCACTTGATTTGTAAAAGCCAGGAATTGGGTCTCTGTTCAGGTACTCTGGATGAAGGGGATTAGGGAATCCAGCCTCCTGCAGTCTTAAAATGAAATACTTGGTGACTGAAAACAATCCTTAGACATTTGTCACATCTTAAACAGTCTAGTAATGAGCTGATGGAGACGCTCCAGCAGTAATCCTGTTTTTTGATTCTCTAAGCAAACTTATGTTCTCTTCAGAAGACAGATGTGATGCTAACCAGCCATCAGTTGCCAACTTCTGGACAAAGGGAACAGTGTACTTTGGGAGGGGAGGTGGCGGCTTTGTCACCTGCCTGCCACCAGTCCCCCAGCCTGTGAGCTGACTTCAGCAAGAGTCCCCCCGAGAGTGCAGAAAGCAGCATGCCCTGCGCCCTCAGCAAGTCACAAGGGAGTCACCAAACTGCCATGAAACCACCCCAGCGGCCGTGCTGAGGTAAGGTGGCCCAGGACTAGTCTCCTGGTTTCCCAGGTAGAAAACGGGATCCCACTGAAGTGACTCTAGGTCCAGTGTCCTGTCAGTGCCTTTGCACGTGGCCACATGCAGGGCGAGCCCGGGAGCCAGGCCCCAGTCGAGAGCAGGGTGCCCAGCTGTTCCCCGAGCCACTCCTCAGAACCGTCCTGGGGAGAGCAGTCCAGACCAGACCCTCCAGAAATGCCCAGCGAGACCAGAACTGAGCCGCTCAAGCCCTTCAGCTTTCCGGTAATCAGATCCATGGAACACTTCATATCAGCCGAGATGTGCGGGGACCTGTTAGTGCTGCTGCTCCCTCCGCTGGTGTGCACTTGAACCTGTGGTTTTGCTCACCTCTGGAGCAAAGACCAGGCCCTGTCTCAGGTGAGAGTGCAATGCAGGATTTCCTCTGCCACACCATTTCCAAAAGGAAAACAAGAACATACACAGCACCAGATGTTAGAGGACAGAAGCCACATGTGTTAGAAGCAGCGGCTGTCGCCAGCTGGCGGGCCTGTTGGCTTAATCTTCCAAACAGGCAGTGAAGGAGTGGGAAGGGTACATCTGGATGCTGGTGGACTGTCCTGGCCTGCAAGGGATGAGGTCTGGGTGCAGGCAGGGAGGCCATAGTCACCCCACATGCCTAGGGCCTGCCTGCGCCCCGACAGCTGTCCCAGGCCAGGGTGCACCCACAGGCAGCACAGGGGCTCGCTCACCTGGGGCCTATAAGCCCGGCATGGTGTCTGGGGACTAGGGCAGGCACTCATAAATACTTGAAGACTAAATAAAGGGGTTTTAGAGACAGAAATGAAAACTCGGGCTTGCTAATCAGAGTGTAGCTTAGGGCAGGGGTAGAGCGGGGATTTGAGCTGTTTCACTATTATGTTAATTTCCTGGGGCTGCCAAAACCAGTGATGACAAACTGGGTGGCTTAAAACAACAGAAATTTATCCTCTCACATTCTCGAGGCTGGAGGTCCAAGGTCGAGGCATCTCTGAAGGATCTAGGCGAGGGTCCTTCCTGCCTCTGCAGCTCCTGGTGGTGGCTAGCAATCCTTGGTGTTCCTTGGCTTGATCCTTCCTCCTTTGAGGGAGGTCCCGCCCTAACCCAGTGTGACCTCACCTTGGTTACATCTGCAAAGACCTATTCCGAATAAAGTCTCATTCGCAGGTTCTGGGAGGACGCTTTTCAACCATAGTGGCCTGACTTGTCCCATGGCAGGCCTTCTGGAATATGATGGAACTGCTCAAGAGTCTGAGCCAGAGCGCACACTGCACAGCTCCTGTGCGCCACACTTTCCAGGTGCGATCCCATGGGAGTGGGGACTGGCTGTGCGCATCTAATCACAAATTTGTAGCCAGTTTTCTCTGCTGTTCAAATGGAATGTGGGTCTCCACTCTCTGCGATTCTTGCCTGTCCTCTGGTGGATTCCGCCTGGCTGTGCAGACCATGGCATCTGTTCTCTGATCTGCCAGAGGTGCTGCTGGCTGGGGAGGGTGGAGTGGATGCGGCTGGGGTCCAAGCAGGCCATAGGTGCCCACGGAGGCTGGGCCAGCCCTGAGTTGTTCTCCCTGACAATAGACTCTTCTCAGCCGGCTCTGTTACAGTGGGAGCCCATGGTGGGGTGTCGTCTTCAGGAAGGTCTGATGAACAGAGAGACTGTTCTGGTGAGCTGGGTTTGACCTTGGATTGAAGGGACGTTCCTACAGGAATGTAATCCCGTGACCCTCAGAGAGAAGGGCGTTCTCTGCCCTGGCATCTACCACATCCTCCATGAAGCGACGGCGCCTAGGAAGCCCAGCACCCATCGCCCACGTCAGCGTTTGGGATAGAGCGAAGACATGCCTAAGGCCCCGTGCTAGGGTTCCCTCCCACTCCTTGGGCAAAGCAGTCTTGAGTTGGGAGTGCTTCTTTAATTGTTGGGGTATCTGTCTCTAGCAGCCAGGGGAGCAACAGCCCCACATGGGGGACAGTGGGAGAGGTGTGGCCCCCTTCTCTCCCTAGCGCAAGGCACGCTTTTTCTTGCTGTGGGGTGGCCTGTTGGGGAGTAGGGGCTTTCTGGGTGCTCAAGGGAGGCAGCCTCTGCCCACGGGGTCAGGACTGCAGCCAGGGACTCCCATGTGGCCTCATCCCCCACAAGGCCTCAGAGGCCACCTGCCCGAGGCGGGCCCCGCTGTGCCTGAACAGCGGTCCCTGCAGGTTTCATGGTCGTGATGATGTGGACACAGCTCAGGGAAGAAACAGGATGCGTAGGGAGGAATCACAAACAGGAGCAAAGCAGACGGAAACGGGATGCGTTCCAGGGCTGGGGAAACGCAGGCGACAACACAGGGCTTGCAGCACACTACAGACTCCACGTAGCAGTCACACAGGGGGTTTCTGTTCCACAGGGGTAACGGGCAGGGGACTGGACGGACATTTGCTCCTCCCTTACCCTTCTTCCTCCGCACCGAGGCTTGCAAACAGAAAGGAGCGCCGTGAGCCAGTGGATGGCACCCCGACACCCGCGCGGGGGCCGGCATGGGGGCGGGGGCTGTGCTGTCTCCAGCAGCCTGGGCCCCAGTGGCTCCTTCCCCTGTGCCCTGCTTGTAAGCCTGCCTGGCGGAGGAGAAGGGACTCTCCTGAGGTGTGCCTGCTGCAGAGGGACGTGGGGCTGAGGACACCCTACATGGCTGAGCTGGAGCCCCCCCCTTATAAAGAGGAGCTGTTGGCTCATCCCTCTTAGGGAGCCCCATGACAGCCCTCTGGGAAGAGTGAGCCTGACACTTGCCATCTCCTTTTAGAGAAGGGCATGTGGAAACTGGGGTCGTATTTGAACAAGATGAGGTCAAGGCAGGGACCAGAAAGAACTTGGTGGGGGGACTATAGCAGGGCTCCTCTTTTCTAGAAGACCAAGACCTTGTGCTGATGCTCAGATTCTAGCCCCAGAAGCTGGGAGAGGTGGCCCAGCCAGCCTCAGTGCCCTGGGCCAGGGAACCATGGTCCACCACATCACCCACAGTGTATGCTAGACCCCTTGTCCAGGACAGCAAGGAGGAAGGAACCCCACCAACTCCCTGAGCTTGGGGGTGTTTCTGTGCCCATGTGGGCTGCCTTCACTAGCCCTTATCCCTGCGTTCAGTGGGGCGGGCATCTCCTCCCCCCGACTCTTGCCACCTCTGCTTCAGAACCATCCTCTTCCCAGAGGTGTTCCTGTGCTCCACGGCGACTCCCTGATACGGCATTTAACAGCATCTGGGAGGCTCACGCAGCCAGCCCCAAAGTCATCCCTCTTTTTAACAGCCACCATGGCTAATAGTCCCCATCTTGTAGCCTGGGCTACGATGACTAAGAGCCAGAGCCTCTCTCTGTTCCTTGCACACCTTTTAAGACGGTGCTGGGAGCTCCCTAAGCCTGGCGGGCAGTGCCAAGCCTACCATTGTGCCAGGTCCCTGGGGCTGGGGCCTTCTGGTCTGAGCCCCGAGTGGCCACAGGGGGAGCTTGCATAGGCCCCGAGGCTGGTGTCAGTTGGGGTGCCCCAGGTGGCAGGGGGAGCTGCTTACCTTTATCCACTAGTGAGAGGCCCAAAAATGCAAAACAAAACAATGTTAGATAAACAGAAAAGAGGAAAGGCAGAACCACACCCCACAAGGCTCCCGATGGAGAGGCCAAGCGTAGGGCAGTTGGGCATGCAGGGCATTCGGTGACACCGTTGCTGGGGGCAAGCAGGCAGGGGGTCACGTGCAGGCTGGGCGGGCGACTCTTACCGAGCTCCTCTAGCTCCGAGGTCATGGACTTGGAGCGCAGGGTGAGGGCTGTGGTCGGCGCTCGCTTTGGAGGCGGGGGAGCTTGATGGCAGATGGAGACAGGCGTGAGAGCCTGGCTGCAGCACAACCCCCCTCCCGCCTTTGCCTCCAGCCCAACCTGGCCCTCGAGCCTGCAGTTTTCTGCGGGGAGGCCAGGTAGACACCCCTTTGTTGGCAGGTCACGTGGCAGGTGTCCCTGCAGGCTCCATTTGGGCTGCAGTGACCAGGCACTGTGCAGGTGCAGTCAGGATGGAGGAGGACGGGCACTGAGGGCCTGCCCTCTTGCCAGCAGGCCTGGGCCAGAGGAGGGTGGGGAGGGGACGAGTGGGAAGCACAGCAGAAGGGACACTGTCCGGCTATCTGCATGTGCCTGCTGGTGACAGAGGGGGCAGAGATGGTTCTGGCAGCCTGTGAGCCCTGAGTCAAATTCCAGCCTTGGCCCTTCGCTCAGGCTCCCAGGTGGGTAGGCTCAGCTAGAGCGAAGGCCCACTGCCCCACAGCTGCCCTTCCCACCCAGGCAGGGCGCGTACCTTTCTTCCTGGCAGTGTCGTCCGGGTCCAGATTCCTGGTCACCGTGACCACCTTAAGGACAAGGTGATTCCCTCCCTGGCGGATCATATTCACCACCTGCCTGTGGCCAACTTTGACGACATTCTCATTGTTAACCTGTGGGAAGACAGGAAGCGGGGGCGTCAGTGAGGGCCAACGGGAGAGAAAGGCAACGTGGCACCCACCCAAGGCAGACAGAAGTGTGGTCTCCTAAAAAGAGGCCAAATGCAGGGAGGTGTCATGAGACCAGTCTTTTTGGAAGCAACGGTGCTTTCAAGGAACCAGAACAAATGCCACCATGGCTGGGGAGGCAAAGCTTCCTTCAGCCTGGCCCTTCCTCTGGCCCACGGTGGTTTCCACCGAGAGCTCTGCAGCTGCTAGGGTGCAGGGACCAGCCCTTACTTAACCCGAGCACTCTTAGGCGCTCACTTATGCCGGTCTGCAGTGATTTTCACGGCCCCAACTCCCTGCCAAGAGGTTCCCAGGGTGAGGCTGCAGCACTGTATCTTTCCACTTTCACGGTGAAGAGGAAACATGGCACTGAATTGCTTCTCCATATCTTGGGAACACACGTCACAGCGACACGGCCTGTCTCCTCCCTGCGCTCCCTCCCTTCTCTCCCACCTGGAGGCCTGAGAAAGCACAAAAGCCTGGCTCGACAAGGTGCCTGGACAGCTGCCACACCAGGGCCTCTGCCCGGCAGTTCAGGAACTTGTGGCCCCTTTCAGAGTCTGCTACCTCCCTTGCCCTGTTGTCCCCACTGTGGCAAACATGCCCGATGCAGAAACAGACTCGAGGTGGCATCCCACAGGCAGGGGCTGGCCCTCTGCCGCGTGCTCTTCTTACCGGCCCAAGTGAAGCTCGGCAGCAGACCATCCTCTGCTCACTGCCCACACCACGCCCGGGAGGAAGGCGGGGACTGGGCGGGTGTTTGGCCCTGGCTAGGAGGCGCACAACCTGGGCGTGGTCCTTAAATGTTGCTGTGGAAGTGCCCTGGCCCTGTCCACTGAACTGAGCCCGACAGGTGGGCTCTGGCACCTTTATCCCTGCAGCTTCTGGTGTGAGCGCCGGCCCGGGGGCACCTGTGCCCAGCACATGCCGTCTCTGGTTGGCAGCAGGGAGGACGCACTCGATGGGACGGTGAAGTTCCCAGTGACTGCGCGCACCATCTTTAACAGAAAACCACCTTGACTGTCAGCAGGTAAGGAGCCCTGGGTCCATGCCCCTCGGCGATCCCCAGCCATCATTTCTGGGGTGGATTGTTTAAAAAACTTTAAAACTCCAGTAAACAGAAAAGATAACAAAGCGCAAATGTGCTGCTTGGTGAACTCTCGCGATCTCGCACCTGTGCAGCCAAGCCCGGCTCCCCGTCCTGAGGCTGGGCACAGGGTGTGCTGGTCTGGTCACCACCGAGATGGCTGCAGAGCTCCGAGAAGCCCAGGCAGGGGCAGCCCCCACCGCTGTGGGACAGCTTGTCCCTGTTCACCCCAGACCGGTCTGGTTCTACAGACACCCTTGGTCCCCTTACACTGCCCCAAAAATGCCGTCTCGGGGGAGGACCAAGCCCACCTAGTTCAAGGTGGCAGCGGCAGTCATTGCGAAGGGACTCCTGGGGGCTCTCCCTTTCACTGATTTTCTCAGAGTGTCATCAGGAAAGCAGATGAATTTAAGGAAGTGAAGAAGCCCGATGGAGGAAGAGCATTGAGAGTTCTCTGAGGACAGAAGAACACGGCCCAAGTCAGCCAGACCTCAGCTCGCTGGACCCTGGCTGCCCCCTGCCATCAGGCTGCGTTCTCTCTGCTCCCTCCGACCAGCACAGCAGAGCAGTGGCTCACTCAGAAATTCATTCATTCACTCATCCAACCAATATTTTTGTTCTCAGCACCCACTAAATGCCAATCTGTCCCTGCTCTGGGGAAAGTATGTTTTCATCTGGAGTCATGACAAACAGGAAGTGAACAAATGTAACCTCGGGTGTGCTAAGTGCCACCGAGAAGACAGAGCTGAGAAAGAGGAGAGCGGGAGAGGGAGCAGCACCTGTGGGGCCTGGCTCCTCCGGGGAAGCGCTCTGGGCGGAGTCCCCAGGAAGAATGGGCAGGCATGAGCATAGGACAGCAAGATGGCCCTGTGGTGGCCGAGGCAGCAGGAGAGGGTGAGGAGTTAGGGGTAGGACGATGGACCACTCTGGGCTGGGGAGGGCAGCTGGGGGTGGGGATGAATCAGTGCTAGGGACAGTGGTGTGGCGGAGATGGGAGACGCGGTGAGAGCAGGAACTACGGTGGCATTCCCAGGGCACAAAACAGATGAGGTAGCACCAACAGGGTGGCGGGGGGCGGCTGCCTAGGCTCAGATGCCATGAGGCCAGTGCAGAGGCTTTGGCAAGATGACATGGCAGCAAAGAGCCTCCAAGTGCCTGTCCCCCAGACCCCCAAGGGTCAGTCCCGCACAAGGCCATGGTGGAGAGGCGAGGACGCAGCCCTGCTTTGCGATGGGCCAGGACCAGCTGCCCTGTTCTGGGCAGGTGTTGAGGAGACTGCAATGAAAAAGCGGGTACTGCCTTGTTCATGCCGACCAGCCGCCTGGGGGTGTTTTCTTGGGGTGTGCTCTCCCCTCGCATTTCCTACCGTAAGTGTCTTGGTCCATCCTTTCTGCAGAAGCTGCCATTCCAACTAAGCTCCTGGTTAGCAGCGCTGCCTTCATGCCAGCCCTGCGGGCAGGTTTCCATCCCATGCCCTCCTAAGAGAGCTGCCTCCCCCAGCAGACTGCAGCAAACGGCAGGAAGGAAATGATGCTCCGACCAGCCCCAGAAATGCCACCTGGCCTCCTCTGAAAACCGATGCCTCCAACCATCCACACACATGCCAGGATGTTTCCCTCAGTCCCCACCTGGGTAAACCTGAGATTGCCAAGGGCCAAATCCTGCCCACATTGAGCCTCAATCAACTCTAACTTAGCTGTCACCATTCAAAGAGTATGAGACCTTTACATAAAAAGTCCAGAATTTCAGTTTCCATTGAAAAAAACCAGAAAACCTGACACCCAGGGACGTGGGCCTCCCACTCCCACATGGCAGCCTCCCCCGGCCCTGATGGCAGCTTCCCTGCCAGAGGAGCCATTGGATTTGTGACTCCTGCCAGCCACCATGGAAACACAAAATGATGATCACTGCCTTCGATGCCATCTGCTTTTAGAATTTTGGAAAGGGACAGACTGAACTCTGCACATTGCTGGTCTCAAAATCAGTCCAGGGCCATTCGTGAAATTCATTCTGATTTGCTCGGTAACCTGCAGGTGACTGTCTGAGCTTCCAGGGTTCAGTCTCCTGGGCCAGAGCTCGGATCACACAAAACATTGCCCTTGTGCCTGAGGCCTTTCCCCTGCAGAGGGAGAGGAGAGTCTGCGAGGGGCCTGCTGTGGCCTCTCTGAACGTGAGGAGGTGGCATATTGCGTGGGCAGAGGCCTGTGGCCACCCTGCTTGTCACTGCTCTGCGAGTTACCCTGAGCTACAGGTGCACACCCAGCGGGTGGACACGGATATGAGGTCTGGAGGGTCCCTGAGGGTGAACCCCTTCCTTACGCTGGCCCAAACTTCCACTGGCAAAAGCCAGTAACGTGGCTCCTAAATCTCACATTTAATAAAGAAACCTCAGTGCTTCCGCCAATGAAAAGCCAGTTCTAGCATCAAGCATGGTGGTGACATGCATTTGTAATTAAACTGTAAACACTGTCAAAGCATTAAAAATATCGACTTTCCCAAAGCGGCTAGTGGGGCTTGTGGTTTCTCTGGGTGTTTGGAGGCTCTGCAAGTTACTGAAGACCAGTGGCGCCTGCAGTGCCTGTTTGTGTGGCTTGGGTTTTGCTGCCAGGGCACACACCACAAGAGCATGCTGTGGGGACCCCATCAAACGGACCTTAGAACAAGAAGCCCCTGGTGGAGAACTTGGCTGCGCTGACAGCCTATGCCTGGCTCTGACCCTGGGCAAGGAGGAGAGCCGAGAGTGCCAGGCTTGGGTTAGGGTGCCCATGTGCTGGCGAAGCACACACCTGCCTCAGCTGAGCACAGAGACTCCGTCCTGACCCTCTGCCCACACGATCACCCCTCCCTCCCCCACTGCTCTGCCAGCGCATGCGGTCTCTGTGTCCCCAGACACTCTTGTTCTGGACTGAATTGTGTCCCTCCCAGACTCACATGTTGGATTCCTAACTCCCAGTGCCTCAAGTGTGACCTTATTTGGAAAGAGGGTCTTTGCAGACAGTCAAGTTGAGGCCATTTGGGTGGGCCCTAGCGCCCACTGGGGTCCTTATCAAAAGGGGAGGTTCGGACACAGAGACGCGCACACGGGGAGAACGCCACGTGAAGATGGAGGCAGAGACGGGGGTGAGGCTTCTATAAGCCAAGACAAGCTAAACGAGCCCTGGCGGCGAGGGGAGGCCTGGAACAGGGTCCCTCACAGCCTCAGTGGGAACGCACCCTGCCGCCAGCCTGATCTTGGACTTCTCGCCTATGGGACTGTGAGAGAGTCCCTGTTTGCAGTTGAAGCTGCCATCTGTGGCATTAGTCACAGGGCGGGGCCCTGCCAGCTTCCCCGCTGAGAGCTGCGCTCCCCTGTGGCCCTCAGCTGCAGCCTTCTCCTTGCACCGCCTCCAGAGGCTCGCCTCCCCTGGGCCCACGTGGCTGCACAAGTCGCCAGCATCTGCCTGATGTGAACAGACACTCACGGGGCCAGAGCCTCGTCTCGTCCCATGACCTCCCCCGAGGCCCAGTGTGGGGACACTGGGTGTTGGCCTCGGGCGAAGATGGCCCAAGTCCTGTTCATCCTGTGAGGAGGGCTCTAAACCCGGAGCTCTCTGCTCAGGGCTTCCATGCAGGCACTCCGAGCATGGGGTTGTCAGCAGCAGAGCAAGAGTGGACAGGTCCCTGGCACTGTCCACTTCTGGGGGGGGGCATTCCCAACGTTTAGTTTCATGTTTTAAGTGTCGGTTTAGTTTTTAAATCTCTGCTGCTTCTTTCCACACAAGCCATTCCCTCACCTCCCCCCGCCCCTCTCCTTATCTTGCAGCGTAAACGCAGCCCACCTCGCCGGCCACTGGAAGCTGGGAACTTGCAATGGGCTGAA